GTGTGTGTTTGTGTTCCACTACATCATGAAATACTTCATGAGGTTTCAGTCCTTGCAAGTAGCAGATCATCATTGAAACTCTCATCAACACTGCAATTAAAAAGATATGTCCAGGCTGGAAAGGCAGCTCAGTAGGCAAAATGGCTGCCGTCCAACAGGAAGATCTGAACTAGAAACCTAGAACCCACGAAAGCTAGCTGTGGTGGGTGACGTCCTTGTACTCAGAGTGCTGGAGAGGTAGAGACAGGTAGATCCCTGGGGCTTGCTGGCTGGCCTACCTAAACCGATGAGCCTCAAGCTCCTGAGTAAATGAAGCACTAGAGATGAAATAATTTAATAAAAACAATGTTTCAATAGGAGTGAATCATTAGGCAAGCCCTGTGCCTCAAACTCAAAGTGCACAGTTACTGAAGAAAGATGCCTGAGCTTGTTCTCTGCCCTCCACATGCATTACCACTGTGCATGCGCACACACACACACACACACACACACACACACACACACACACACACACACATATTCATACACATACATGCAAAAACAGAAAAACCAGGTATATCTATTATTGCTTAAACAAAAATCTATCATCCAAACCAGTGTCGCTTATTCTCAAACTCTAATAAGAAAATTTATCCTTCTACTTATATATTCCATTCTAGAAAATTGTGGACTCATTGGTATGATTCATAGAGTTCCAGGTATACATGGGCTCCTGTCTTACACAATCCTCAAGATGATCTCTCCCCTTTCTTTCCTGCCACTCTTCTCTGGATTCACAAAAAGATGAGGGTTCTCTCTAAGTACATTTCATGTCTACAGCAGAGAACTCACACTCTTCATTTAATGTGGTATTAAATATTATCCTATAAGACTAAAGTGTTTGGTTATATTATATATTTTGTGGGTATGGGTATCTATTCATTCATCCCTGGAAATACTGTATTCTTTCCTCAACATACCCACAATCTCCTTGAGGGCAGAAATTGTTGTGACAAAACATCTGTGCCCCCTCTATGATCACAACACCATGCCAGGCAGGTAATGAATTCCCCATAAAAGTAAACGTGCTGTGTCCTGAAAAGAAGCAATCAAGCGAACGCCTTTACAAAACATCGATCTACAAATTACAGAGCAGCAGCAAAGGGAAACTGAAGACAATCTGCCATAATTAATTGAAACCTAAATGGGGTGAGTAACAAAATATTGTGCCCATCATTTTATCTGACAGCTAATCAACTTATAAACATCTATGATGAAAACGCGTTGGCAATAGTTAGATACATCTTCATGTTGATGATAGCTTTCCTTTCTACTTTTTATACAATGGATCTAGGTATTATTACTTTAGCAGTAAGAAATTAACAAAAATAGTTAATATTATTCCACTAATCGTCCAATAATCCACTTTGTTAAAGTGATCCGTGCTTTAACCTCTGAGTTGTCAAAAGTTTTAAAATTGGCTTTGAACGGAATTCTGAATTTGAACTCCTAATCCATTAATTATTATCTGTATGATCTCTTCACATTATTCACTTACCAAATCCCTAAATTTCATCATCTGGAAAATTAAGAAGTAGTGGATACTATTTCAACAGGCCATGGCGATAAATAGATAGGTAAAAATGTACACAGCTCTTAAGAGTAACTTACATTTCATAAACACAAACATAGTTGCTGTTGTTCTGCTGTCAATGTGCTTTGTATGTAATATGAAAGATAACCCAATTCCATATATGTCTACAATGTTCTTTGTACTACATATAAAACAGCCCAGGTGCTCATGGAAATAGGCTGTATAGATATAGAATGTCTTGTTGTATTATAGCAAGTATACTCTATTCTATTGTATAGCTCAATACCAAGAAGTAGTAACTCTACGCATTCATACAAATGGTTTTAATAACCCAATTTAGAGATCTAAAAATAAATCATGCTGAGTACTCTGTCACTTATGTTGACTTAAAATGATAAAGAAACAGCTTTGTCAATCAAAGATAATCAGTTAGCACCCTAACCTAACAGGAAGCACTAGAATTTCTCTCAAGGAACTCTCGCCATAGGCTATTTGGGGTGAAAACTCAAATCCTTAGAAGTTAGCATGAGGTAAGCCACAGTCAATGAAGTTAAGCTGTTCAGCATTATAAATGAAACAGAACATAAGAGAGAAGTTCAGAAATTATATATTCAGAAGTCAATCAGAGCAAAATGGCTTCTTATAAAAGAAGAGCTAAGTCTGGTATAGTGGCTTATGCCTGCAACCCTAGGACTTGGGATATTGAGGAGGAGGATTGTTGTGAGTTTAGGGACTCTCTGGGCTACATGGTGTGTTCTAGGTCTGCTTGGACTCTCAGAAGAGTGGGTCTTCTGGTTTTGCGTTATCTCTGATCCCCTTCCACTCAGACAGAATGCCTACCCCTCTACGCGCTCTCTTCCAGGCATGACTGCCTCTTTGCCAGTCTTCAAACACACCATTAAGATCTGAGTTCAAACTCTAGTCACTTTGTTCCTTTAATAAGTACTCATGTCCCATGGTTTCCACTGGGCTCACTTTTTCATTCTCTTGAGGTGATATCTAAACTCTTCCAAATAAATACTTCCACATTAAAAACTATAATTAATTTTTAAAAGCCTCAGTCTCTCACACATGCCACATCTAGCCCTCACATGCTTCCTAACCTTCTATTCTAGTTATTTATTACAATTGATTGATTGATTGTTTGACTGATTGATTGATTTAAACCAGGTGTCACAACAGAACCCAGCAGACTTCAAACTTGTCATCCTCCTGCTTCAGCCTCTTTAGTGCTAGGATCACTGGGGGGTGTCACAGCTGTTTAAATGATTATCTCCAACTGATAAGCTGTATTTGTTACTAATTGGCTTACTGTCTGTCTTCACCTCGTAGAATGAAATCTCTAGGAGAGACAGGATTTTTCCCTATTTTAGTCACCACAGTATTTTCATCATATGAAAAAATGACTTCAGCAGGCTCTTACTAAATGCCTATAGAATGTATGAGGGAAGGAAAGAATGGTAGAAAGAGCCTTGCAAACAATTTGATAAACCTGAAGAGTCAAAGCAGTCTGAGTTAAAATCTAGAATACATCTACAGGCATCATTAACAAAGGCTGAGCTAGTGAATATAAAATTTACTTAAAGTAAAATTCATAATATATGATGGAAGGTAAGGATTTGTCAAAAAATGATTTTGTGACTAGGGATTTTTATGTAATGTGTATTTAGAGAGCATACTTAAAAATCCATTAGCATACACATCTACAGACATATGGAATAAGTAGACCTTTACAAGAAATTCCATAAAGCACCCTGAGCTGTGGTAACTCCCCTGGATATATAAAAAGGACTATGCTGCGAGAAGTCAAATCATACAATTATATACACCATAAGGTAGCTTAACAAGTAATAGTAATGGTGAATAAAGCTTTTTTTCCTGCAGACGAAAGCCTGCATGGTTCAATTGTGAGTGAAACGGAGGAGCAGGAATGAATCCTGCGGCAAGCTGACAGTTACATGGAACCCCCTGAAGTTATAAATTGAGTTCCTCTGCTAATTACTGGTCTGAAGGGGACAGGGAAAGACCCACATTTTATTTCTCCTGCTGAACTTGCAACGTAAGCACTTGTGAATTCTACATTAGGGTCAAACTGGGAAGTTCCCAGGTACCTGGTACAGAGAACAGCAGCACCTCCCATGCAAACAAGGTCAGGCAGTCTTTTCTGCCTTGGGTGACTACCAGTGAGATCTCTGTGAAACAGACTCTAAAAGGGATATAGATGTAAAAAAGGAAGGGGTACAGAGCCTATTTGAAATAAAACTTTGTCTATCAATGTGAAGAGTGAATATTTCCAAAAGATCTTGCCGTTTTGCAATACAGTTCATTAAAATGGAATGTCATGGCCAGAGATGATGATGCCAGCTATTCTATCTACTTTCTGAACTACTCATTGTATGACCAATAATGCTACACAGCAGGCAGAGACTTTAATGAAATAGGCCCAGTTCTCCGGGGAGGTGATCCTGTGGTTCAAACTAACATTTTTGATCAAATAAACACTTTATTCTTCTCAACAACAACAAAAAAATGCATCTTATGTGGATTCTGACAAAAAGAAAATACACTTGGGAAGAAAATTTACAAGAGAGGGGTGAGTGGGGAACAAAGGACTGTTGTGATGTCACATATAAACCAAGTTTCTGAAAAGGGAAAGTAACTTGAACATTTCTAATGCATATATGCACCCTTTATAATGTCCTGGAACATTCTAGCTCACTTCCTGCCAAAAGCGCAGCCTCATTCAGATTAGAATAATACATTAATGCATTTATTCACAGGACCAACAATTACTGAACACATTCGCTCTGCAAAAAGAATACGTACAAGAACATTCCATTATTATAACAATTTCCATTATTACCAGGTTTCTCTTCTGTCACTTTTTTATTAGCTTAACTGTGTACTACAAATACAATCATAAAAAATAATCTAAAGGAAAGCCAATTCATTAAGATCTGACATTTAACAATTTGGAGAGAGAGAGGCAATCCATGTCAGCCCTGTGTACAATATTGACCAGTTCTGAGAGTCATAAAGACTTGCCTGTCTCATTACTGAGAAACACCTTCAATCCCCTTATATGGAATGTGCTCTAATTGCATCTATCCACATGGTCGTTGTAGTGATTAAACTTGATTTTTGGCAAGCACCCTTCCATAGGAAGTATTTAACAAATTGTAGCTATTTGGGTTATTTTTTGGGATTCTGACTCACATAATGCCTTCCTTAGCTCCCATGAGCACTTACTGGCAAAACTCCAGAGCGTTAATCTTATTTTACCTCTTCAGAAGAATTTATTTTTGTGCTCCTCATCTCTAAAAATATAAACCATTGAATTTTTATGCTGCTGGATGCTTTAACTAATGATGAAGAAGAAATTCCACTTTCCAGGAGTCCTTCCAATAAAATAACCAAGAAATCTTACCTAGTTTTGGCAAAGAATAGGGCACTTTAAAGTAGTCTTCATAAAATTCTATTAATCTCTTTGTAATGTGGAGAGCATAGTCCCCGGATCCTCTTCTGATAGCATCAGGTCTTGCATATAATCGGACCTAATTAAAAATATATATAAAAGTTACTTTAGCCTTTTGGTACTTGAGTTTTATTTTCCTTGCACATATGAATCTGCACAAATCACTTTGGATAGTATAAAATTAAACAGGGTTCTTGTTTATATATCAAAACACACTGTGGAGAAAGAGCCAAATTTAAACAATCGACGTAGCCAAGTTGAGCAAAGTCACAATTTCCTCACTTTCCAGGATGACATAGAGAAGATTTATACACCTTGCGTCAAAATAAATATTCTAAGTTATCACTTACATGTGCTTGCTAGAGATATGAGGGCATGGTGGATTAGTATAATGGATCCCTGGCTCAGCAAGAGAGAAAACTCATGGTCTGTTAAGACATGCTGCATCAAGGTTTGGAAGAATTACCAGATTGGAAAAATATATGTTTGCATGCACACGTGTGTGTGTGTGTGTGTGTGTGTGTGTGTGTGTGTGTGTGTGTGTGTGTGTATCTTACTTATGCTTCCTTTTTCTAATTTTTGTTCTTTTGAAATCAACTGCCTTTATTCCAAATATACAGCATAAGAACAGAAAACTTTTCATGTGCATAAGCAACCACCACTCTGGAAGGCTGTCTGCACCTGTTCCTAGATTCAAAACTAGCTGATGTAATTCATATTTTTAAGACAATCTGAGCATTTATTATTGATTCTTAAAACAAGCATCATAAATGATCTAGTCCTTGGCCAAAATAAAGAAGTCCCAAAGTGAGAAACATAAAACTGAACAAAGCTAACAATCATATAGAAAAGGCTAAAATGAGATTAGTTTTCATAAAGCTATCCAGCATCTTGCCTTCCAAAGGCTAAATCTGTTTTTCACAGATGTGGTCCCTAATCCTCATATCAATTCTTTGAATAAGAGGTATGCATTTCATGCAGCCGTAGAAAGGATAGCAGCATGGGAGTTGGATTTTAGTCCTACTCTGACACTAACAAAGCTAGGGGATATTGAATAAATCATTTAACCTCTTTGGGTCTTATTTATAAAGTGATGCTGTTGGCCACCAGCTAGTTGCTGAAGTGCTTTTCAATTCTAAAACACATTACTCCCAATTCCATTTTACAAACAAGGGAGTCTGTGTCCTTTTTAAATCACTACAAAAAAAATAAGTGGTTTACTCAATATACCAAATGGATATTTTCAACAAGAAAACAAAAAAGCTGTATTCAGTTATAATACAATTAAGTCTCTATTATTCTTGCCTAAGAGAGAAAAAAAGATGTACAGTCAAAAGGTATAGGGTTGATACAAGGAAAATACATTCTGTTTTCATGTTAGGAAGACATGTAATTCAATAAAGTATCTGCTAAGTTAAATGGCAATTGTTTGCTCAAATTGTAAACTACTTACTCCCTGTCAGCAAAATCAAATGACAAATTTAACTGATAGTCATCAACAGTCTTGACTGGAATGGTATAACACCAAAAGCTACCAGGACAGGACCATCTACATACAGCAGCAGTAGAACCTGCCACTCCGAGAGGTAGTAATTACCCTGCCATGACCTCAAATCTTTGCAAATATGCAATGCCTAATACAAAGTTCTCAAAACAAAATGTCCTCGGAGAGGATGAGTACCCTTTTGATTTAGGAATAAAAGCTCTCCAAAGAGTCTCTTCAACACATGAGAGAATCACTGTACTCATGAACTCACAGAAGGCAAGGTTGCCTGTACAAGATCAAACCAGGCAACATTCCAGAATGGAATGGCAAGGGGTTCATGAGGAGCTATGGACAGATGTGTTATTAAACTTTAAAAAAAAGACATGAAATTGCAGAGATATAGAAATGGGGGTGGATCAGGGAGGAATTTAAGGGAGAAACTGAGGTGAATTCAATCAAAATATGTTATAAGAAATTCTCAAAAAATAATAAAACATTAATAAATTTTGAAACTAAGTAAATAAATGAATGCTAACTTTAAAGGCACTCATAGGCAGAGATGGCTTACAAGGTAGGGAGGGAAGCAGGATAAAGGGATATAAAGTAAGCAAGCAGAGATGGGTGCTGAACACACCCAATGAGAAAGAAGATACAGCCTGTGCCCTGGCAGCATCCACCAGAGACCATTGGTAATTGTCCGTTACGCACTAATTCAACCATAAAACTGTTCCTTTGATACTTTTTTTTGTACCAGATCCAAGATGAAGCATTTTTCATTTCATACTCGGAAACACATGCTGTCCACCTAACCAAAAGAGCCACAAAACAGAAGACAAAAAGCAATGCATGTGTCATGACCATTCTCAAGGACTTTCTCAGTAATTAGGGGAAGTGAATGACAGGTAGTGATAGGTGCCGTATGAACAATAAACTACAAACAGCAGATTTTGTTTGAGGAACACTGAGGAAAGATGAGGTTTGCAGAAAGTCCATGGTAACTAACTGGTAGATTGATACTCAATCCATAGCAGGGAAACCGCAACACGACATAACAAGGGTCACTGACTTAGCATTTAGGCAGCACAGTTGATTTGAGTAGAAACACAATCATGTCTGTCAATCAACTTTCCCAGTTACTCGAGCATTCTGTAGAGCACAAGCAAGAGAAACACAATTAAATCAATCTGGTTGTCAAGATTTGATGGAAATAATCCAGCTTGAATGCAAAGACAAAACGGACACATGCTTAACCCAACATCTTCATTTTCCAGTGCAGACATTTATTGCATGCCTGCTCTGTGTCAGGCATTGTACTAGGGAATCGAAATAGAACAATAAAACCCCTGCTACAAAATGAACAAGACATTTATACTTACTGCTCTTAAGAGGTTCACAGTGTGTGGAAAACAAACAAATAAATCACCAACAAAAATACAACCCAAGAAATAGAGCACTGCACATTCTGTCTTTCCACTCAACAGACACACGAAGCTAAACCCTCTATATCTTATCCCCTCATCTTTCCAAAGACACCATTCCCAAAGCATCCCCTTTATCTCCATATCATCAACTTTTGCTTTCATGATGTAAACAAATACTCTGTATTCTTTCTTATAGTTTTTGTTGCTGTTATTTGTTTTTGCTTTGTTTTATTTTCTTTCAGACGAGGACTTTCAATGTAGGATTGGCGGGCTCCAGCTCCTGATCTTCCTGCCTAAGTCTCCAAAGTGCTGGGATTGTATATATGTGCCACCACAACCAACTTCCTATGCTTGTTTATTTTCTTTTGAATTCTGTATAGATCTTCCAGTTAGAATTCTCATGGAAAGAATGTGTGAGTTAACATCTTAGCCAGAACACTTTAAAGAATAAGGGGCATGCCACCACCTGAGATACAACAGGTTTAAGCAAGGCATCTATCTACACTCCCTGTTTCTTGTCTCCCTCACACTCAGGAAAACAACAACTTTTGTTCCGACTAGAACTACAACTGTTCTCAATAGGATCAGTAATAACACATGGTGGCAAATCCAACCTCTAATCCAGTGCTCAACCCATCCACAGAATTTACATTTAGTTGATTATTTAAGGTCCTTGAAACCGTTTCATCCTTGTTTCAATCCACAGACCTCTTTCCTTCTGTGTTTACACTCGGTCACTTAGTTATAACATCTAGCTTGGTGGTTTTAAGTACGACTTCCAAACTGATGACTTACCAAATAATGTTGGGCTTCCAGAATCATTAAACATCTTCTACTTGACATCTGCACTTGGAATCTCAGACTTCAAATTCTAAAAGTGAACTCCTGCTGATCCGTCCACACAGCTGCTCCTCCCAAACCTTCCTCATCTCAGTTAATTGCACTTCTATCCAGCTGTCTGTACCCAGCATGTCAGTATCATCCTTGCTTTCATCTCTCCCTCGCATCCCAGCATATCCTATTGCCTCTGCCTTAAAGAGACACCTAGAACCCTGCTCTCCTCACTACCCCACTGCTACCACTCCGGGCCCAGCTATTTCTTTCTTATTGTTCTCAACACAGTAATCAAAATCTCTCTGAAACATGAGAGTCAAATCATGTTATTCATCTGCTATTCGCCATCTTTACATCTCATTCAGAGTAATCCTAAGGGTTGGGGGTTTTTTTTGTTTGTTTGTTTTGCTTTTTTGTTTTGCTTTTTAAGACCCCAAAATTATATACACATCTGATTATTTTTTAGCTCTCTGGCTTTTATTTCTACTGCTTTGCTGCTGCTCATACCAAACTCAAGGCTTTTGAATTCTCCCTTCATGCCCATGAATATCTCCACAACTCATGCCCTCACCATCTTCAGATAGCTGCCCAAGTATCACACACTCTGAGAAACCCTCATGCTGCCCTAGTACTGTCTAACCCTATCCACAATTTATTTAGCCTGAGATACTACCATTCAACAAAGCATGTATTTTTATTATCCATTTTACTTCTTTCTGCTTTCTTTCCATGAATATAACTTGAGTGGGGGCAAAGAATTTAGTCTACTCTATCTAACCATGTGAAAATGTTATGTTTTTAGGTAGAAACATTCTGTATGAAGTGCAAGGTATATAAGCCTTTAGTAAATGAGTGAACCAAAGAATTTAATTTTACAGGTATATACAGATCCTGAGAAATAGGACATATGTCTCAGAAGAACATATGTTTTAACTAAAACTTAAAAAAATAAATCTGGGACATTGGGGAGATGGCTAAACAGTTAAGTGCATTTGCTATTCATGTAGAGGACCCAGGTTTGTTTCCCAGCATATGCAGAGAAGCCCACAATCATCTGTAACTGCAGTCCCAGGAATTCCAAAGCCTTCTTCTGCCCTCCTTAGGTATCAGAAACAGACCTGGTACACATGCATCCATGCAGAAAAACATTCATACACTCAAAGTAAAGTAAATAAATCTTTTATTTAAAAAAGAAAAAAAACATTAAAACTAGATGTAGTAAGAGCTCTTATCCAGAACTGAGCCATGTTATTTTAAGAATATGAACACAAGCTCAGATAACCATGCTCTCCTGAGGCTGATATATCATTCCACAAGTGTGGTTCTATTTGATCATCT